AAACGGATTGTATCGAAGAACTTTAAAATATAGTGATTTGAGGGTATTAAGTCCATGTTGTTGATATTTATGGAGTTAATAAATGTCATTTTTCCCAGTTCCTTACAAACAAAAACTTTGGCTTTCCTGTATTATTTCCTTCTCTCAACTATTTTCCTATTTTGTCTCTAAAAAAGGTATCTTCTGATCTACTAGTCTGAGAGAACTAGATCTTCATGAGCTTTAGTTATTTAGCTAATAGCAAATAATCAAAAGTGCTGATTTTGCCCATATTCCAAGGTGATGTCTCCAAATGGACCCAAAGTATTGTTCCCCCTGTATCTGCTCAACGATGCACTTTGGAATGAAATATAGTGTCAAACCACTTTGTTGGTTTTAAAAGGTCCAAAATAAATAACGTAATTATGAGTAGTTTTTCATTAATACAATATTGTTCAGACAACCATATTGGGACTTCTGACCCTGTTATTGATCAGTGCCTCTAAACCCTTTTAAGGCCCTTTATGAAGTCCCTACTTGGTGATTACAGGGTCAAGACCTATTTTCTGCCTCAAGCGTCTTCTGCCCAAGTTGGCGCTATTAGAGAGCTTCCTTTCTCACTTCATCTCCTGCCCTTTGAGCACAAAAGAAATAACCTTCAAATTCATCCTCCTCTGAAAATCGACACCCATTTGGCCTCAAACTCTCACAATGAGGCAGCTGCCGCCTGCTCTCCGTATCTCGTCTGACTGTCATTATTTCTAAATTCCCTCTAAATTACTTTCTTTCTTCTTCAGCAGTTTCATTTTATTCAAATGACAGTGTCCCCAACTGAATCAATTTTGCTTACCAATATGTCATCCTCACCCCTCGGTCCCCCACTGACTCCCCCAGCAGTTGGAGCGGTAAATTGAATCCAAGACAAAACTTTGTTACTTTTCCATGATGAGAATGCAATTTTCAGGTGTGAATACCCAAGTGAGGAAATAATCTTCCACTTCTCTACTCTTTTTGGATTGAAATTCAGGTGATGGAAGGAAGAACAAAAACAAACCCTCCATAAAAATAAAAAAAGGCAAAAACATGTGTAAATACCCTTCATGTGGATTGAAATTCAAACGTTATCGTCTACAATCCACCACAGAAGTCTAGTAGCTTTTTTTTCTGTTCAATCCTTCTTTCCAAGATAACATATCTTTATCTTCCACTTGCTGGTGGGCAATTTATTCTCACAGATTTCAAAGGAATACAGTTTGGTTTTCCTCGAGAATGAAGAAGTATTATTAACGTGTGCTTTGCACGTTCCGCAAGAAACAATTTCAGTCGCGGCTTCAAGGCTGCATTTGCTTTAAGTGGTCTGTCTCTTCAGCTGCAGACTAACAGCAAAACCATCACAGATCATTTTGATGCATTGGCTTCGATGCCTTTTTCTCTCAGTTTAGTGTTTTCCAAAAGGAAATGGATGGTTAAGCCAAACAGTTAGTTTTCTCTTCGCTACGCCCACACTAGGTGACTCGTGTAATTGTGAGCCAAAAAACCCGCCACCGACTCTTCCCTTACAATGCCCTGCTTTTGTTTACTCTGTTAACAAAGCTCTAAAACAAACTGCCTCCAAAAGCATGCAAATTGGTCTCCCTGTGCCTCCCCCGTCCTTTCCCTTTCAATGACACAAAACGGCATCCGGGCATGTTCGCCCCGAGGAACCTCCACCCGCTGTAACCCAGGTGTCGAGTGCACATTATCAACGCTGAAGGGACCATGTTGATCGGTTACAGCTGGCTGGGTTAGTTTTTTTTTTTCCCCCAGAAGATCTGGGAGAATTTCAAAAATGTGACATAAAAGCAGAAGACAACAAGCTTACGTGCGTGTGGAATAAGAGCGACACGCACCCACCGGTGTGCTCGCCACTCGGCACAGTCGCTCTTCAGTGACTCTGGAAATGGAGTATAATTTGACTTGGGGGGCCATTTCATTGTTCCCTCTAAGCTTCTTAGCTCTAAAATATTCATATTTCAGGCGAGGGTGGAAGAAATCTGTGACGGCAGCAGAGAGAGAGAGAAACTGGGTGGAGGGGTGTGAGGAGAGCGGTGCAAAGAACAGAAAACAGCACTTTAACTGATGTTCTCTTATAAACAACTTTCTGGCTGTCTTTTTTTTTTTTTTTTTTTTTTCCACTGTGAAATACTTGATGGCAGACCCGTCCAACTAGAGGCAAAGCGCTTTCTCTGTTGTCGGCCCCAGCTCCGGCTGCAGTGGAGGAAGGAGGCATCAATAATATAACAAATATAATCTGGATGTCATTCAATTATTTACAGGTATCTTAGACCTATACGCTTGCTGCCCCTTGTCAAAAAAGAATTGTTAGCTTGGTTAATTTAAATTAAAGAAAGAAAAGAAAAGTAAACTCGCTAATGTACTTTAGGGAGGTAAGAAATGACTTTTTTCCGGCTTGTGAAAAGCAGTCCTAGATGTTAGGTATACACGGTAAAAGAACGATATAGGTTATGTGTGCATATCTGAAAAAACTTTAATCTCTTTTCATTAACTTCACAAGGTCAGTTGCGTTGCTCATTGACAGCTGTTCCTTGGTTGATGAAACATTTAAGAATATTGCTTCTTTCTGTGCAAGAATCCACGCTAAACCAAACCGATGGTAAGCTATGATGACCTCAACGCAGCTGTGAAGGTTGTAACAAGTTAAAATACAGATTAGTTTGAGGAGGATCAGCCTGTCAACTGCAAGCCAATGTTACAACTTCATAAATCAAGTCGCAGATTGGCTGCACATTTCCTATACATCGCAAAACAAGATATTTTGATTTGAACATGATGTAATGAAAATAATTGATCATCCCCCTTTATAATAAATTACATTAAACAAGATTATTCAGTTGCCCAAAGCAGTGTGTGAGATCACCTAAATATATTAATGTGAATATGCCATTAAAACCATGTCTGTGCCCATTCAACATAATAACTTGTCAACAAGATAGATATGATTATATCCTCTTAACTGTATACTGCGCACAGAGGGGTTCAATGTTTCATCCTCACAGTGTTACTGTGCATGCGGTCGGGTCCGGGACACTGTGGAGGGTACATCTTTGTTCTGGCATTTAGACGACAAACCTTTAATTGAACAATAATAACCCCTGTTATGCAACACTCTGTGAGCAAATGCGTCAGTGACAAGCTTTAAGATATTTTATTTATAGTAAAAAACTAAAAAAAAAACTGAAGGAGTCACGAGAGCCTTTTTGAGAAGCACCTCAATCTTCCATCAACAAAATAAAAATATGGTTCACCGCGGTGCACATAATGCTTGTAAGTGGAAAGAATGAGCGATGACAACAAGAGGAAGGTCGGTAGCAAAGAGGCCGACAGAGCGAGCGATGGAGTCAGTGCAGCGCTGTAATATCAGCAGAGCACGAGCCGTGCTGCACGTGGGCTGTACAGTAGCCTGGCAGGCTCCCGCTGTTTGCTGCTTTAAAAGACAAACCCGCAGCTGAATTGATATGCTAATTTGATTGAGAAGCCGTGGGTGGATATGGAGAAGGTTTTAAACCCGCGCGAGAAAGACCGGCGGAGAGAGAGCGCGACAAGAAAAGCGAGCGAGCGAGAGGAAGGGAGAGAGTGGGAGTGAGAGATGCGATGGAGAGAGGGAAGAGGTTGAAATGAGACCAATGGGAAGGAGTGGGACGCGGGGAGAGCTCAGCGTGGCTCTGCACTTCAGGGTGAGAGTTTACAGTCAGTCAGCGAGCGGTTGTCAGTCAGCTGTGTGTCGTAAGTGGCAGCTGCAGCAGTCTTTGACAGCACATCTCGACACGTTGACTTGTTTTTTAAATATTTGTTGATTTTAAAGGTGAACAAAATTATAAAAACATTAAATAGAATTAATTGATTAAGCGCAGTTTCACAGCTGATCCTCTGTAACAATATCATTCTTACCAAAGCAACTGCTGACATCAGGGAACCCAAAACTGACGATATAACCTTTTTAAGAAATGTACTTTTAAGAATCTAACAATGCAAAAAAGGACAGACATTTGATGCCAACTCATACTTGACAACCACAACTATAAAACTCAGTTTCAAATACGACATTATTAACCTTTTATAACCTTAAAAGACCATTGGATTTTACATAACTAATATTATAATGGTAAAACAAGGTCATAGGTAAAAAGTTTTGGGACTTCTATGTGGACCTTTGTGTGGTCAGAGGGAGTTAAGTGCCACTTATTAAAGACTGAATATTCAGTTAATCGGAAGCTAAATGTCTCTGTATAGTGTGGTAGAAATAAGTGCCACAGCTGCTATAAGGGTGGTGTGCAGAGATTAAAAGGAGGAGCTGTCGTTGAATCCTTGTAATGACTTCAGTCTAAATCCATAGAAAAGTCATCATCCTTGTTGTTTGTAACACAATATGTATGTTTATGTACAATGGTATGTTTTAATCACTGAAGTATGCGTTCACAAAAATAGATGCATAGAAAATCATATGGTATACAATACATTGTAATTCTTAATATTTGGTTAAATTACCAATCCTGTCTCTTCTTAAGTATTTCTTGGACCGTTAACCAAATCTTAGTGGATTTTGCTGACTTGATTTTCTAAAGAAATCAACACCTGAAATGTTGTGTTTACCCGTTCCTTCAAAATAATTTTGTCAGCAAGAAAACACAGCTTAACTTTAAACTTAAACAGCCCTCATAATCATTGTAAAATGCGATGGATGTTGGCTTCATACCTTTTAGAATCGTTATGCGTCTGACCCCGTGCTTTGGGTAATCCTCTTTGCGACTGTGCAGGCCGGTGACGTTCTTCCACAAAGTGGTTGACGCCACGCCAATGTCTACCTCATTAACATGTGCCACCCCACGGGGCCCACGGGGCCCACGGAGCTAGGCTCAAAGCCGAGAAATACAGACCCTGATCAAAAGCACACAAATGAATAGGGACACATGGGTGGTGTGTTTTCTGTCTGTGCCGTAACTCTTCCTCTCACTCATCCTCAGAAACAACCAGGATCGGAGGCTGCTCTGAGAACAGTCGTCATCCAGGAAAGGAGGCTTCTTGTCGGCGTCCACAACGGCTGGTGTTTCCTCGACAAGCCTCAAGTGGTGGTGCTGGAGGCCGCAGCGGCAGGGTCCAGAGGTCGAGCCGACAGCACCTCCAAACAGAGCGCCCCGGTGAAGGACAGGTGAGCGGACGGGACAGGAGGTCCGGTGAGGGCTTTGCTGCCGGCCACATGGAGCGGGTGGAGCGATATTCGGCACTCAGACCAAATCCGCAGATTCCAGGGGTGCTTGTTTTTATAGCGTTTCATCAGACTTTTTCCGGCGCTGCTCTTCTTGCATGTGGACAAGTGATTGGAAGTTTATCCCGGGGAGTCTGCAAAACTATCACACATCGTGGGATGAGATTAGCTTATTCATACAGTGGTGCCATTCTTTTTTGCTGTAAAGACCGAAACTAAATGTATCAATGTGAAAGCATATCTGAATATATCAACCAGTTCGTCCTCTTTGTTGCGGCGGGCTGTGAAGTATCTCCACCATAAGTTTAAAAATGAGATGAGGATGAAAACAATGTGTCATATGTGTCGTGGCCTTTACGTTAGCCGTGTTATGTCAACCCAGTCAGACGTGTGTAAAAATGACAACATTACACAAAATGAGGCGACACCTTGTTAAAGGCTGGTGTTCACCCTTTGTGTGAAGTTCAGAGATTTGGAGAGTCAATTTAAAAAAGAGCACTAAAAACAGTTCCTTAGAAGGCGCAACACGTTGGAATGGATAATAAAGTAAAATATGAAGGACCACTGATTTAGAGAAAATAACGGATATCAGTCTGTCTCCCCATGTTTGCTGTCATTCTTTACTGCACAGATCAGACTGTTTCTCTGCAGACTCTGAGTAGAGTATGAGCAAGGATTTTGTCTTTTCTTTCATCCCTGGATTTGAAATCCCTAAACCTCCCTGTGTGGGACTGAAAAGTACTATTTGTAAGTTATTAAGCTGTACATGCTTATCAATTTGGTCGTGTCCGCCTGCTACCACTCTGTAATTAAATCACACTCCTCCATTGAGAAAGACCATAAGATTATAGATCCATCAATTCCATCCTGCTCAACTTAATTTGGGTAAGTAGCAGACAGTCAAAAAGACTGAAAATGTAATCTTAAATACATCAAATGTATGCCGCTTTATAAGTAGTCCGTTGACCTTCCACCGTATTCTGTACCACGCAGGCCTCCACCCTCATAAAACGGCTTTGCAATACATTCCAATACGTGCCGGTACTTCATAACAGATTGAGGAGATGCCGCTGCCTCTGCCCCCTGAGTTTTATTGAGACACAATCCCGCTCAATGCTAACCTTGTCGAGGTGGACGCGCTGATGTAATGTCACCAGCGGCCTCCTTACATCAGCAGTAAAGCATGTGGACTGAAGTACGTCACCAACAGAGATTTAAGAGATACAGAACCAGAGCGGGAAAACTGAAAGCCGCCCCCTTGCACCACAAATCACGTAGACATCCTACATCTACTTTAAATTCCAGAGATGAGGAGCACGGAGTATAATTTGTAGGAAGTTCCACATAGTTTCGGTGTTGAGGCACACGCCATTGTTTTGTCAAAGTTGAAGTAACCCTGAATTCAGGTCCTCAGTTGTTACTTAGTTACCTTGTTTCTCCAATGGTTCGCTAGCGCCTGTAGAGAAGCCCAATCCCACTTATTGTTATATTTTTGGTACATTCCAACTTGCTGGTAAATCGCTAACGTAAATGTTAAAAGCAAGTACCTTTGACCTCCACCACTAAACAATAACCAGCAGTTTAAATCAATTGTCAAGCAGAACTGATTCGGCTTAGAGCATTTTTCTCAGACAGTATGCAAGATGATGCAACAATAACAAGAAATTGTGTAATTCTAATGCTGCAAGTTCTCGTTTTCATAATGTAAAGACAGAATGATAAAACCTTTTTTAAATGGGACTCAATTTCTTTTGTCCACTATGAAAAGTGCAAGCCTGTGTGCTAAAGCGCATGATAGAAGCACAACGGTGTAAAGCCACCGCGTTCTTCCACTCCGTCAGTGTTGACATCTGATTTTCAGAACAATTAAGGTGGATATGTATTGTGCTGTTTTGTGAAATTATCGAGGATATGGACTCTTGGGCAAAGTACTCAATCCTGTGTTCAATAAGGTCAAACACGGCGAAGAACGTGCAGTCGAAATGTAGAGACGACAGTGAAAGCTGTTTGCCGTGTTTCAGCGCGCGTCTGAATCGAGATGTATTGTGTTTGCTACTTCAAACGAGACACGAGCTGATTATGAGGATCATTATACGGGTCTCTCACAAACTGGGGAGTGTGTGCACAAACATGGGAAAGCATAATCTGCCAGCCAACAATCTGGGCTCTATTACTGTACCACACAAATAACAATAATCACCATTGTCAAACTACGTCAAACATTATTGGTTCAGCCCTTTTCTGTTTTCGGAAGAAGAAGAAAGTGTTTGTGGGGAATCTGTTCAGTTTTGATAACGGGGTCGACAATGGTCACGATCTTTATCTTTCTTTGGGTGCTGCCTTTTGAAAGCTGACCGACTCACGCGTCACGCCGGCCGCTTCCAGGCGGCAGAGGAAGAGGGAAGCAAAATGCGAAGCGCTCGCCTGTTCCCCGTCTCCAGAGGGTCGTCCACAAAGCGGAGAAAAGAAAAGGCGCTCGGCCCCACCTCGTGACACGCCGGCGCTCCGCCGTATGCTTCCGCCTATGGTGTATGCAAACTGTGAATGACGAATACCAGGCGTGCTGTTCCACAGCTTACACGGGAGACCAGTGCTCGCCTGTGACAAATCAGCAAGCGAGTGGAAATCCTCCCAACAGTTATTTTCCTCTTGATACATTTTTTTTTTCTTTTTAAAGAGATGACACAATTAAATATTATTTTTGTCAGTACGTAAGAGAATTAAAGCACACAGGTTGCAAATAATGATGCGTAACTATTGCTGCTTTCCTTGCATCTCTCTCTCTCTCTCTGAACATGTACCCATCACTGCTGTGTGTGTCTGTCCTCAGATCAGCACTCTCCACCCTCCCTCACACGCTGGGCCTCCGCGGCAGCTTGGAGCTCAAGCTGACCAATCATCACGCTTTGGCAATTGTCTTCCAGCTGGAGTGGGTCTTCTCCGCTCCGATGGGCCGAGAGACGATGGTAAGGGTCCTAAAACAGACTTGCCTGAAATGAAGCTTTTCAATGAAGCTCATCTTCCCTTCATTCAACTTAAACTGGTGGACACAAGCATTAATGTCTGTATTAAAGACACCTGCAAACACACACACATACACACACACCCTAATGTACTCTCTTCATCCAGCATTTGTCCTCTCTCCACCTCTCTTTTGAGAAGCACTCCATCCACACCTCACCTTTTGTCTCCCAGAGGAAATTACTGAACGCTTCCTCCGCCACAAGTCCTCTACAAACAAGCCTGAGATAACAATAGGTGTCAGAGGAGAGAACCAGAGGAGATCAAGTCCTGTTTGACCGGGCATTCGATCCCACAGAGTTCATATAAAGCTTAATCTGAGGGGTATTTCATAAAAACACCATCCCAACCTCTCTTGAAACTTTGCTCACCAAAACGCATTGTGTGCACCCTCACTGAAGGTTTTTCCTTCCTCATAAACATTTTGAAAATGCATTTTAAATGCTGCATTCTGTACATCTTCTATTACCAGCTTGCATTCGTATTCTACCTCTCCACCCATCCTTCATTGCAACATATGTTGATGTGTTACCGCCACCTTTTAGTAGCACAGTGTGAAACCATTGGCAGTATTGTGCACCCCATCACGCCATGAGTGTGCACACGCTCGTGCATCCGCGAGCAAGTCCGGTCAAAAACCGCCACAGGAGCCGTGGTGTTGGTTACAACTTGTCTCACTTGTCTCACTCTCACTCCCACATTTTGGACTTAACTTAAAATGCTCTGTCTTCAGCTGGAAAAACAGTGACCTCAAACTCCTGGTTGCCTGGGTGATCGATGACATAATTGACTCTACAGACAATGTGCATGACTCACTTTGATCCGTCAAAAAGCTTACTGCGTAGGTCTGCTGTGCAACCGCTGAAATGCAGCTCCTTTTTAGGCTTGTTGAGAGGCTTTTGGGGAATTCAAACAAGCTGTGAGTGTGATGATGCTATTAGTTTTTTCCCACTCAACGTTAGAGTGAGTCAAATAGAACTTTAATTGGGATTATAATGCCGTCCTCATTGTCCCGCTAAACTATTTCATTATGAGATGTACAAACAAGAGCCTGACTGATGAAGTGGGAACGGCTCATACTAAAGCCAAATGTGCAGGACAGAAATCGGACCACATATTCAGGGACATTTATCTTTTTTTTTTTTGTTTTATGTATCCTATGCAATAGCAATTTTTTCAGTTTGCGGGCAGGTGTTTGCATTACTAGAGACTGAACAGCATGCAATTGTTGTCTTGGGTCACCTGTCAATAAAAAGTGATGTCATAGAAAGTAGGTTTCAATCAGAAAAGGTAGAAATGGAATGAACCTGTACAGGGTTGCGGGGGGTGAGGGAGGGATAGTGCTGCCCAGCCATGGAACTGATACCCGGGCCCCTCAATGCTGTGGGGAGGCCGCAGGGCCACCACGCCATGGCATCGCTTCACATAATTATGCTCAACATGTAACATCAAATTGTTCTCTACTAGGCATTCTCATTTATTTGTATCCTAACCTTTCCCCCCCTCTGTCTGTATAAATTGCAAAGAAACAACAGTAGCTGGCACCTGGTGCAGACAGACACAGTCAACACCCCCCCAGGGAGATAATTCTCAAATTCAAGCAGCAACTGCTCATGACATGTAAAAAAAAACCTCCGAAAGACTGGTAATTATGTGCGTGGGTGGGCCTTCAACACTTAACGCATGCCAAGGCTGGGCTCTAATTGTGTTACCACGTGTTATCCTTTATACAATCAGGGGTCACCGGATCACCAATTAAAAGCAGCAGCAAAACAACCAGCCACTCGGTAGGAGCGCCATGGTACGTTGCATTTATGTATTAATTCACCCATTCTTACCCCAGCAACCACTTGACAGCTAATCGCTCCGTTGTAAATGGACAGTGTTCCCCCCTTTGGTTTTGCACCATGGATGAGTTGTTCCATGGATATGTTTGTATGCAATAGATGTTGTTTACGGTGAAAACCAACAGTTTTTACTGAAGAGGTTTTTTTTCCTGAGCAGTAAAAAAATATCACAGTTAAAGCGAGAAGCATCTTTGTTGCATACAGTTTGTTCATGTAAAGCTGCTTTACTGTTTAATACCCAATGAAGAGAAAAAAAACCTTATCTTAACATATGATCTGAATTATCAAGACTATTAACTATATGTATAACTGAGAAATGATATTCCAAATATCTGGAATTTAGCTGTAAACCCCACTTATGAGGAGGCTCGCAGATCTAGATCATTATTGAAAGTGCTTCATATGTTTTTGTGAACAACTTAAACCCCTTTCAGGATGATAGACCTTTTTTTATTTTTTTGGCCTAGTGATGACGCTCAATGGGAATTTGGGGCAGTTTCAATTCGTCCTGAAGGGGCACACTGATTGTAAGACGTTGTCACAATCGATCAAACTCCACATTGCAAGTGTCCACCGGCTGTTGGCACATGATTAGATTTCAGAGGGTCACCCAAGTCCAACTGAACCAACGGACTTTGCCATTCCCAGATTCTTTCCTTGAGAGCAGATATTTCATTTGTAGGATGATTAATCCTACTGTCTTTAAAGCCGATACTTGGTGGAAAAAACAAAGCCGGTTGTCTTTGTCAGGAATTAAGTTCTAAAAGCCTCACATGTGCGGTACATAAGAGTCAGTACACGTTTGCGTGCGTTTATGATTCTCTCCGCTCAAACAAAGTGAGCGAATGTGTCTCGGCAGTCGATCATAAGTTGATCTCGGTTTCAGTTGCATTCTGCCGGCATCTTTCCTGTCAGGAAACTGTCACTCCATTGCTGCCGGCATGGGAAGCAAGTGGTGCAGTTCATCAGTAAACACGGAGGGAAAGACGGAAGAAGGAATACGAGGAAGGTGGAGATATTCTTTAGCATGCCCATTGTCACATCTGTGCACACACGGCCATTCTCTGGGGAAGCTGTGTGCTTGTTAGAGAGACTGGGCTCACCCGGCCAGACGGTTTGTTACACAGGACCATCTGAGAAGGGAAGGGAAGTCATTTTCAAGAAACACTTGGCAAGTGAATGGTTGAACCATCTGTCAATCAAATTCTAACCGAGTCGGGAGAAGATCAAAAATATCTTTTATGTCAAGGAAAGCCTTCAGAGACGTTTTTTCCTCTTTGAATCGAATCAGAAACATTTATTTAAGTATGTTGGACATGCAAATAATCTGTCATGGTGCATAGATGGCATTGAACAAAAGAGAATACAATTCAATTGACAATCCACTGCATCCGTTGTTTGTAAGGATTAATCCAGAGCCTGATGTGTCTCGGCTGTTGACTGATAACGGTTTGATACACATTCCCTTCTGAGGACTGCAGCTGCCACGACACCCTTAGGTCGCCAAAACTTCGGTCTGTGCATCTTCGGTTACCAAGGCGAGTGTGACGGGACGATGCTCACGTCCCTGTGCTGAGTCACTGCTGTCAGACACGTGGCGCTTCTGAGGTGTCATATCTGTGTCGAGCTCAGGTGTGCCTTCAGGGCAGGCAGCTGCACACTGCCGGCAGCACTTCACAGCTTTCGACACCACTTGTGAGCCACAAATGTGACGGTTCATGTCTGATTGTCCCCGCAGCTTCCTCTGGGCCTTTTCTGGCCCCTGTGGAATTGAACTGGTATTTAAACCGGCAAAAAAACGCCAAATGCCATTAGCTTTTCACCTTGGAGGTCATTTGATTCAAAACAAAACACGCTAATAGATCGGACATGGAGTGTACGGACAGCAGTGTCTGTACACTTTCACTCTGGAATGTACAGCTGGATTCTAATGGGGGATGTTTAAGATAAAATAGGACATTTGATCGATTGTGGAGGCAAAAAAAGAGACCAGATTAACTGACAAGAGAAAAATAAAAGTACAACAGACACAGAAATGTTGGTTACAAGATTAACTATTAGGGAGTAAACTATGCTTGGGAAATCCATTTTTAGTACAATAGCCCAAGACGGCGTGCATAAGCATGAGTTATGCACATTGATGAAACTGAAATATGTGTTTCTAAAAAATAATTGAACCGGTACATTAAATTGTGTCTGTATGTGTGTCTACTATGCAATTGTTTAAACAAATCACATTTGTAGTTATTTTGTAGAAAGCTAAAGTTGAAGATGGTAAAGAGCCTTAAGGTTTTAGGTTGAAGCACTGAAGTAAGTTGAATTGACAGCTGAAACAGAATTACCGATAGAAGTAGAAAGAAAAGGCATTTCAAAAGTTTGAGTGCTTAAAAGGATGTGAATTGCAAACAATAAATCATTCAATCTAATAAACACTATATATATATATATATATATATATATATATATATATAAAATCTTTCTAGGATAAAAAAATAGTATCTAGCCGCGTCGGAACAGTCTTTTTTCATTGAGATAAAATAATGTTTTATGTCGCCCCCTGAATAACCTTCTAGGCTTCAGTAATAATATATATGGCTTTGTTTTGGCAGGCCGCACAAGCAGGTGCTTGAAACGCTGTCTTATTCTGTGTGCAGGTTCACCCAGGAGTAACCCCTTGACGGGGTTCTAACACCGGAGTACTCAACCCGTTTTCTCTCATTTCCCACATTGCACTCCCTCTGAATACTTTTCCACTAGATGGTGCTGTGTAGTGCATCTTGAAAGAGTCCTCTGCACCGGGACTGTGCTTGGACGGGTGGCGGCAGGGAGCGTGCACGCCGCCTGACTGCTGATTAAATAGAATGATGTTGTTTGATGTATTCTGAGGGTTAATAGAGTAACACAATTTTGTTCAAATCCCTTCTCTTCTAAAACATCACTTTAGTGACAATCTAGTGGCAATAGACTCAGTGCTCTGACGCTGCCAAGGTCTCATCTTGGCTGTGTTCGAAAAGCCTGCCTCTCACAAGACAAAAAAAAGTGGATGGCCTCTTTTTACAAAATTGCCATCGTCGCCTTTGGTCATGAAGAAAGAAAAC